TTTCAAGATTTCCTCTTCTACTTGATTCAGGTGAATGAGTTTCTTTGTGTAAGTCTTAACCTGCTAAGTGGATTGCTCGTTGAAGATGTCAATCTATAGCCTCCCCTGAGATTGATGAAGATCTTGTCTAGTTTGGATTATTTGAGTCTGAATATCTGTATGCCTCTTGGACATTTGCCTCAATTTTGGTGGAAGCCTTTTTAATTTTTCCCAGAGGATGTGCATAGGTCTACCCTGAACCTCTATATTCCAACTCTCCTCAATAACTTGGAAAAAAAACTGATCTTTATTAAAAAAATTCATAAATTTAAACATAGTTTTCCTCCTTTTGTGTTGTTCATGTCTGCTGATCTTTACAGGTGTATGGTCTAATATGTTAGGTGTCGGGTTTTCGACCACAACATCTTGAAAAGTCTAATACCAAGTTGCATTCCGCAAGACTCTATCAACTCTAGAGTATATTATTCCACTAGTGTGCTTATTATTCCATGTGAAATGAGGACCAAGAGTTTTTGCTTCAAATAGTCCAGCTATATGCATCATGTCCACTAGGTCCTTGTATTCAACTTCACTAACATCCTTCCCTCCTGTCTGTTGCACCCCAAATTTTGACCCCTTAGATCCTCATCATCATTTTAGGATCATATTCATTTATTTATCTAACCTTAACCTATTTCAAGTTTGTCTTTGTTAAGATACAGGTGAATCAGGGTTCCGTACAGTCAGAAATCGAGGTTTCGACGGTTTAATCAGTCAATGTATTAGATTGATTCTCCATAAAACAAGCCTTTACATCATCAAGGATACTCCATTGGGTCAAACATGAGTCCAATTTGAGTTTGTCACTCAAAGATTAAAAACAGTGCAGATTAAGATCCTCGATTAGGGTTTCTAATCAGGAAAAGTCAACTGTGGTTTGACTTTTGATTTAAAAGGTGTTCTAATGGTGGGATCATGGTCCGTGAAGTTCATATGACTTAGGGAAGTCCACTCAAGAAGTTTCAAGACCTCAGGAGACCGAGAACAACAACAGTCGACTCGGTAGTCATCGATCGATCGTTTCGTTGACCGAAAAGTCAACTCTCCAACCATAAGGAATTTGACCTCAAAGTGTGAAGCAAAAATGTTCCTAATGTTATATTACACCTATCCATGTAGTTTCATGACCATTTAATCAAGGATTGAGGAGTAATCAAAAAGTTGGGAAATTAAGGTTTTGAAAAGGGCAAAGTCATAACTCCTTAACCACACAAGGGTTTTTGACCTAGTTTCAAGAGGAATGAGTTCCTAACACACGAATTAATATTGTAGTACCTAATTGGGGCTTTTTTAAAAGTACAAGTGGGTTCCATAACTCTTCCTGGTTAGAGAGAACCAAGGTCCACAAGTTGGCAAAAACTCATATTGGAAAAACCAGGTCAGCATGAGTTTATTTTTATTCCAAAACCTCTCCAAATTGATGCTAATTAAAGACTAAGCCTCATTTATGATGTTTATATTGATATTTAACATTTTTACATCAATTCCCACGAAAATGGCACAAAGATCAAATGAAATCATTATTTAATGCAAGTTGCAAAAGTGAATAGTGAAGAAAGAGAAAAAAGGTGGCTACCATTGTCAAATCATCAACTTTAATTCAACAAATCACCTCCCATTCTATGAAGCATGATGAAAAAATCTATAGGGCATGGGGAATATCTTAGTAGAGTGGCTTAAAGATAAAGGTGAAGATTTCATTGGAAAACTCAAAGATTTTCATGATGGAAGGTTAAAATTGACAATTTGCTACACTTTTGCCCATACCTTGATCCAAGGCCTTTGGCTATAAATAGAACTCACTTCCTACATCAAAAACACACAAGTTCCATGCTAGAAACCAGCTATAACTTTCTTCCTTACACAATCACAAGTTCTTACAAAATCTCATTAAGTTTCCAAAATCCCTCAAAATTTGCTTTTGAAAAACACCTTTCAAAACCATTTCCAAACTTCTTCCAACTCAAGAAACACTTCAAACACATAAAGTATGATGTATTGAAGCTATCCAAGTCACTTCCACACTTATGTAACAAGATCTTGGAAGAGCTCTCAAGATCTCTGGTTTTCTTATTGCTTAAGCTTGCTTCAAGAGGTAAACCTAAAACTTATAAATGTGAACTTTCCACTTGCATTCCACATGTTACCATGACTGTTTTTTTTACCATGATGATCTTGAAAATTTTCAACTTGTAACTTGATTTTTCTTGTGAGATTGATCTTGTATTATTCTTAAAATTTTGTTAACATGTTTAAATAATCAAATTTGTTTGATTCATTGTCTTACCATGTGCATTTTATTCCTTTTATCATTTAGATTTTCATGTTTTGTTCATCCAAACTTCAAAAAACCATAACTTATCCATTTTTCATCATTTTGAACCCATTCTTTTTGCATTGTGTTTGTCTTGATGCCTACTTTCATGTGATATTTTTTAATTCCATGTTTGTTCATACTTTCATGCCTTTTGGTTGCTTGTAAGTTGCCTTTGTATTGAGATCATTATCTCGCGTATGCAGATGAATTTCTTTTTCACCGTGATCATTTGGGTTATGATATTCACTCATTCTCATTTATACTATGTTAGTTAACATGCTAGGGTACTCTCCCTTGGTTTTACCATGATTTCATATTGCTTTCCTCCTAAATTATGAGGTTAAACTAATTTGCTTGTATTTGATTGTCATCGATACATGTGGTTGTTACCTTCAATCTTTGTTAAAATATACCTTTAATCTTTGTTAAGATATGCTTTCATCTTTGTTAAGATACATGATCTTTGGTTGTAACCATGCCCCTTTTGTTTAAAGTATTGATTACTTTGTTAATTATTTCTTCCCCAAGTGATGGAACTTTTTTAGTTCTCATCCAAGTTGCCTCATCTCCTCTCTTCCAAAGGAAAGTCTCTCTATTGACCCTTGGGTCATAGATAGCTCAATACCCTCATAGGCCTCGAAAGAGCCTTAACCCCCTTTTTGGTCTGGATAGAACCAATAGGATATAAACTCATAGGTCTGGATAGAACCTTCCCCTCTTTTGGTCTGGAAAGAACCAATTGATTCCTTATTTCGAGCCCGAACTACGACCGCTCTGATTTCTCACTGGACAATGAGAATACGTAGGCACAAGATGCGATATCTTGACAAGCAACCTTCCCTCTCACTAGGAGTGTTTACAACTAGAACCCTAGGATAGAGTTGTTAACTCTATGTAAGGATCATGGATATGATCACTTACTTCCCCCTTTGAGTGTTACAACATAGACATAGAGAGTTTTGTGAAACTCTACACAAACATTATTATGTTTGTTCCCCTTTGAACCTTGATCGCAATCAAGCGTTCTTCAACCCTAGTGAGGTGAACTACGATTGCTCTGATTCTATCCTAGTTAGGATACGTAGGCAGAGGACGCGATGTCTTTGCGAGCAAACTTAGAAACAATCTTAGGTCTTCATCTATCATAACCTTCACCTTTTTACCCAATACCCAAACCTTAGCAAATATTTAACAAACTTAGCATACAAACAAACAAAAGGTTCCTGTAGAGTACTACAGATGTTTAGGATGTGAAATACCTACCCTATGCATAACCAACCCCCGATCCCCGAATCTCTTAGCGTTGTTGTAACATCGCGCAAAAGGTTCTTTCTTTCTTTAGACCTTTCCTTTGGATAAATTAAAGTCCGGTTGTAAAAGAATTAAGGTTCAAGTTAATTCAATAGCTTGATATCCGATTTTCACTACAACACTGTCCTATCACGAATTTACAATACATTATTGAAATCTCCCATAACAACCCAATGACCATTGATATTTTTGCTCATGACTTCAATATCTCTCCATAGGGTTCTTCTATGTTCTAGCTGATTGAAAGCATATACCACAGTGAGTATGTACATATGAGTTTGATCCAGTGCAGACACTTCTACATGAATGAATTGATAAGTGGACTTGAGCACTTTAAGATCTACCTTATTTGGATTCCATAAAATCCAAATCCTTCCATTTGTATGTTTACCATAATCATCTATATAGTTCCATGTTTTCCCAAAATTCCTTCTAATTTTCTCAGCATTTTGTTTTTTTCACTCTTGTTTCCAGCAAGTCACATATTGGTACATTGAAAGTAGAGATATAGGAGCTTATATCTCTATGCCTAGCCTCTTTATTGATGCCACTAACATTCCAAGTGACTATCGTGTATCAAATTTTTTTCTCCTATAAGACAATCTCCAATCCTAAGAGGAGTAAAAGAGTTCTTATACTTCATAAATGAGCTAGTTAGTTTGTGAGGCATGCCTTTTCTTCCTTTGTCCACTTTACTTGGTGTAATGGTGGTCCAATCTTCTTCATGGTTGGTAGGGTCTGGGTTTGTAGGGGAACTCACCTTTGGGTGTTCCTTTTCATGAGCGCTTTGTGTAGTGTCTCCTTCTTGTAATTGATCAACATTCTAGATTTGTTGAGTAGGAGTTGGCTTATTTGCTACAGGTTTCCAAACTTTAGCACTCTTGTCACTTTTCCTTTTGACTTCACAATCATGACCAATCTTCAGGAATCTTCGATAGTATGCAGGTTGCCACTCATATTCTAATTTTTGCTTCAATAACATCCCTTTGTGGTCTCTTATATTTATGGAGTTCTTCAGTTTCTGTGTAATGTTAACCTCAACTAAAACTCGAGCATGTGAAATTCGTAGCTTCTTCGCAGTGCATTTGTCAGTTGTAATGGGTTTCCCAATTGCACTTGTAATCTTGGAAATGCTTCTCTGACCCCATAGGTGCAGGGGGAGATTGGGTAGTGTCACCCACAAAAGCAGAAACCTTAAGAGGTCCTCTTTCATCTCAAACTTCGGGCACCATTTTTTGATGAACATAGGTTTTCCATAGATGAAATACGATCCTGCGTCATGACGGATTCTCTATCCTGTTCACTTTTGAATCATACCATGAAATAACCCTCTTCATTGTAATATAGTTCTAGCATCATAAAAAAAACTCCATAAATTCTCCATGAATCGTTTTAAAGCATTCATTGAGAGGGAATTTCCTAAAGCAAATAGAATCATAGAATTATGCCAGAATTCCAATTCATCTTTTATATCTGCATCGCCAATCGTGATCTCGACTTCCCCATTGACGATTAAGGGTGCGACTAACTCGACTGACATACCTCTGCTCAGGGTTCGATTTCATTTTATCACCCCAACCCATGGTTTCAATAGGGTTGCAACATGTTTCTCTGGGGATGACACATTGTTGTTGATTACTCCTTCGTCGGGTCTATATTGTTGGTCTTCATCATGTTTATCATCTGACTCTGTGTATGGTGTTATTGCAATGTGTTGATTGGAATCACCATACGTGTCTTGTTGGTCAGTTTCTTCAGCTTCCAATTCAGTAATAGCCTGCACAATAATGGTCTGTTCAACTCCTTTCTGGTGCGCCGCCACCTGATTTCTTGGTCGGCCGACGCCACATTTGCCCATGGCCGTCAACCCCAGTAGAGCAGACCAAATCTTTTCTTATTGTGTAAGTAAATTGTTTTTGCTAATAATGTTTATGAAATAAATAAATTTCAAGTTAATACACACACACACACACACACACACACACACACATGAGTGATGATCAACTTACTCCAAAAGTAGTTTTGTCTAACTTACTCCACATCATAGCCTTTAAATTGAATATAATCTAGTGGTTAAATTAACATTTTTATTTATAACCATTCGATTAAATCTAATTTAAAGGCTATGATTGTGGACTAAGTTATAAAAACCTACTATTGGAGTAAGTGGATCCTCTCTCTCTCTCTCTCTCTCTCTCTCTCTCTATATATATATATATATATATATATATATATATATATATATATATATATATATATATATATATATATATATATATATATATATATATATATATATAGAGAGAGAGAGAGAGAGAGAGGATCCACTTACTCCTATATATATATATATATATATATATATATATATATATATATATATATATATATATATATATATATATATATATATATATATATATATATATATATATATATATATATATATATATATATATATATATATATATATATATATATATATATATATATATATATATATATATATATATATATATATATATATATATATATATATATATATATATATATATATATATATATATATATATATATATATATATATATATATATATATATATATATATATATATATATATATATATATATATATATATATATATATATATATATATATATATATATATATATATATATATATATATATATATATATATATATATATATATATATATATATATATATATATATATATATATATATATATATATATATATATATATATATATATATATATATATATATATATATATATATATATATATATATATATATATATATATATATATATATATATATATATATATATATATATATATATATATATATATATATATATATATATATATATATATATATATAGGGAGCGTATCATATGAGAATGACATTTTGAAAATTAGCCACAGAAGAAATTACCGGGTCGAGTCGCAGACTTGGTTGCTCTCTTTAAGGCGTTTCGTGACACTGCCTAAAATTATGCAAAGTAGTCAAACTATTGCACCGTCTCCAGGATAAAATAGTCCAGTTCTATACTGTACGATTACTACTTGCATGGTAGATAACCGGTCTAGAAATACACCTTCTGATGGTACAAAAACCATTAAAATATGGTATAAGTAACAACTATTGAAAAAAGTACCCTAAATGATGTACTTCTAGTGACTAGAGAAAAGGTGTAGAAAAAATCTATATTTTTCTCTTTGTCTAAAACCATTGGCTACAAAGCGAGCCTTGTACTTATCAATAGTTCCATAAGGTTTTAGTTTCTTTTTCAAAAACCCATTTACAATCTATTGGTTTGCAACCAGGAGGAATGTCTACTAAGTGCTAGGTCTTGTTAGGTTCTAGAGATTCTATCTCATCATTTATAGCTTCTTACCATAAATCTACATCTAGAGATGACAAGGCTTCTTGAAGATTTATTGGATTTTCTTCTACATTATAATCTGCATAATTGGGCCCATAATCTTTAGCAATTCTTACTTTTTTTTACTTCGTTAAAGTTTTGTTTCTACATTATCGTCGCTTTCTGTGCTTCTTAACATAGGGATGCGACTCGATTCAGTGCCCCCACTATTTATCGATTTGAAAGGAAATTTGTCTTCATAGAATACAAAGTCATTTGATTCTATGATCACTTTTACATTTAGGCCATAAAGCCTATATGCCTTACTGTTTGTTGCATACCTAATGAATACACATTCATAGACTCTACTAGTGTTAGCTCCCAAATTCGACACTGCCTTGGGTTGCTAAAACACTAAGACATAATTAAGGTCTAAGTTAAATGAAGCAAAGAGGTTTCGACAGCCTCTAAGGAATTTTTCTAAAGTTGAACGGTTGAAATAACTTAGGAAAATTAAGAAACCTAAAGTTATGAGCATTTCGACCGTGTCAGAGGTCATTCGACCGAAATTCCGCAAATGGCATTGCTATGTCGTTTTGAAATTCAAAAATTGGAGGGAGGAGTTTTGGTTCATAAGACACGTGGCGAATTCTAGAGCAGGAGGTTACATGCAAAAGACACTTGTTAGATCGAGGAGATACTAAGGAGTTATTAGCGGTTAATTATTAGCATTATAAATAGGGATTTGTTAGGCAGATTTCTGGGTGTGTTTTACCATTTGTACAAAGTAACTCCAATCAAATTTACTCAAAGTACCCAAGTGTGAGAAAAGAGTATTTTCACGGAGAATGTACATTATGTAAAATCACCAACTTTTCAATAAAGTCTTTTACAATTTCAGCAACATTTACATTTCCTCTGTCGAACCATTTGTGCAAGTGTTACATTTTGCCTTTTACCTTTACTGCATCTTTTACTCCAATTCCTTCTTCCCTTTAAACTTTTTACCCTTTTCGGACAGCCTTTTTTACAAGTCTTTTATAGTGTTTCCTTTAAGTTTATGCACTTTAAAATATCCAGTCAAAGCCCTTTTCATTACAAGCACATTTACCAATTCGTTATCACAAGTACTTTAAATTTAATTCTAAACGTAGAATACTTTAGCACATGTCCTAGGATCAATCTGATCGATCCTGTGAGTCACCAAATTCAAATTTGGAAGATCAGCGGTTGTTTTCCGATTTTCAAGGGAAACAAAATGGCACGCCCAGTGGTGTCGCTACTGCGAAAATCGGCGCCGGCTGAACAGAAGAGTCGCCACCGTGCGTTATTTATCCCACGGGAGGGAAAGGAAACGCTCAGAGTAAACCTCGCACAACACGGGAAAGGTATGGTCGTCGCAACCAAAACCTGGATTCGGGAGTCGGTTACGCAAGGGGAAGGTATTAGCACCCCTCACGTCCGTCGTACTCGACGGGATCCACGCTTGTTTTCGGGTATGGATTGTTATTCTATCTAAGCTAAAGGTCTGGGGTTAAAAGAAAAGAAAATGAAAATAAAAAATGACTCGGCAAAGTATCGCACTTTATGCCTACGTATTCCCGTCTGGAACGAGAAATCAGAGTCAACGTAGTTCGCCTACCTACGGGAAAGGAGGGGAAGGTTGCTCGCTAGGATATCGCATCCTATGCCTACGTACTTCCACACAGCATGGAAGATCAGAGCAAACGTAGTTCGGGCCACGTACGACACAAGTCTGTCCTTGATTGATTTTATTCCTTCTGAAAAAGGGTTTTCTTGATTAGCAGTCCCAGCGGACAAAAATGACGTCTTGATGAGTTCACATTTTTTTTCGGAAGAAGTGTCTTTTATTGTGTTTGAAATCTTTATGTGTTTTTCTGTTTGTTTTGAGAAAGGAGAGACAGAGCTCTAACCTACGGTTGCGAAGGGAATCAAACTAACCTAATGTTATCATGCATGGGTTAAGACCTAGTGTCTATCATGCTCCTCTCTTGCACAGAGAGAAACAGAGATCCTACGGGATAGGCGGAAACAGAAACAATATCAGATATATACAGTAAAACAGTAAAATGCATGGATGCAACAGCACAAGCGAGGCAAGGGAGTCCCACTCAACCTCGAACCTAGAAAACAATAGGCAAAAGTGAACAGGCTTCACTTTCAACCCACCAGGGTAAACAGCAAACAATACAACCAGGAAATCCAAACAATACATCAAGAAATGAAATACAGCAATAAAAACAGCATCAGCAGCTCTGAATCAACATCTAGCTTCAAGTAATCTCCAATCAGCTACAGGCTTCAACAAGCATCAATCTCCATCTTCATGGCCTTCAGGCAAGGGCTTTGATCATCAGTCTTCCATCTGCAATGGCTTTTCTTCAAGCTCAAACCTCCAGGATGAGGGATTAGTCACAAGAGTGAAGTGAATGAATGTTAGACAGTTAATTACCTACCAAGGGTGGTTCATCAACTGTTAACATTAAGCAGAAATTTTCCTCTCAAAAGTTCTATCTTTCAAATATATTCACTGATCCTTCCAAAGGAAGGAGGTGGATAGTTGAAAGAGACTTTGAATCATAGAGGAAGGATGGATGCAGACAAGGCATTCCATGTTTGAGAAACAAGCTTTCTAATCTAGAGCTCTGCCTAGCTCCTAAACCCTAGTCTCCTCAGCAGCTGCTAGCAAGAACCCCCTTCTCAACTCTGGCAGTTGATCTTCAATCTCTGGATCTCCAATAGTCTTCATCTCCTCAAGTCTTCAGCTCTCCCAAATCCCCAGACAATCCCAATACCCACACAAACAAGCAATAAACCCCAGAGGGCACACCACACCAGTCAATCAGATATACAGACAGTAATAATAGCAGTAGGGGAATCCTGACTTTTCTCTAAGGGATCTAATAGCTACCCATAGCCCCTATAGTCCCATAACTAAGCTAGTCAAACCCTAAGTCCTAAGGGAAAGAATTAAACTTCCTAAGTCATCACCTAAAAAACCCTAATTTGTTCATGTTGGTCAAGCCTACATTAATCACCTAAAATTAATTCCTAAAAATGGGAACTAAATTGAATCTACAAGTTCAATATCTAATCTAAACAATATAAAAAGAATGAACAAAAAATATAGAAGCATTTAATAGAACAAAAATCACTAAAATCATGCATGAAATGGATCTATTTAAAATGACATTTATTTAGAAAATATGGAAAAAATATGAAATAAAAATAAAAATGCACTTTTATTTTTCTATAATTTTCTAGACACTCTAATGAAAATGATGTAAAAAGAATGAATTAAAAATGAATTTTTATGCATTTATTATGAATTTTCAAAGTTGGTGAAAAATTAAAATGGAATTAAAAAAAAATTGAATTGAATTAAAATGAGGGAGGGGGGTATGAATAGCAGGCGCGCCCAGTTCACATTTGGATGGGCCAGGCAGATGGAG